CTCTCCGATGTTGGCTACATGTCCGTTTAGCCAGACAATCTTCACTTTTTCTGCTTATGTGGACTTACGTTGGATTCTGTGTTGTGGTGGGTAACACTTGTTGGACGTTAGCGGATTTCATTTCTAAGCTAACGATAGCTGATGCTGTACTCTGTTGGCGTTAAAGGAGAGCTGAGGGAAGGCAAGGGTCTTAGAAGTGTGAACAAGTGTGACATCCTTTGAATTTTCCCAGCAAAACTGTCCCGAGCAAGTGGTTATCCTCAGATCTGAAAAGTGAAGCCGATGCGGAAGTGCCTCAAATCTGCATTATTTCTAATGGCCAGCAGGGGCAACTCAACTGATTGCAAAAAGAAGCCCAATTGTACTGTATGTGAGTCTACGAAGAAACGACCCTTCTTCTCACTTGATTTATTACCTTGGTAGACATTTTCCTAATGAGTGCATGGTCTCAATCACTAGTTTCAAGTCTTCTTCGATACAGGATTATTTTTATTTTGTAAATTATGGCCCAATTTAGAGTCAACTAGATGATAAAGCAGGGTGTGCTTTATGGTATGGCTACCTTGTGATGGTAAGATGCTATCACGGCAGTGTCCTCATTGCTCCTCCCAAACTGGTAATGTCAAGTTGGCGATGTCCAAATTGACAAACTTAAGGCTTCAAAACAGTTGTTAATAAACCAATGGGCTACGTCTACTTCTTTTATACAGTCTATTGTCCCGAGTCCTTAGCATAGACATCAGTCCACAGGCTGTTACAGGAAACTGAAAAAGTCAGGGAGGGTCTCAGTTTTTTTTTTTAGCTACGTCACAATCTGTTAACACATTGATGATACAAAGCCAATAATACATTAATTGCTTCACATATTACCTTTATGTGTTTGATAATCTACACTAATCAGACAAATACAAGGGCAGAACTTCAGTTGCTGCTCGGAGAGTTATGGAAGGAACTTTGCCAACCATAATTGATTTAAGTACACCATAATCAAGGAGGGGCAGTTAAGGTGGCACCATACAAGGGTCCATATTTCATTACATGCTGTGTTTAACCTTACCCACTTCTCCTAAAACACACAAGAGGCTCATTATGTGTTTAATATTCACCAGCAGGTGAATAATTTTTATGCAACTCTGATAGTTGGGCGAGATGGATAACTCAATTATCTGAACATCCGTCAGAGCAGAGGGCTCGCTGGCTCTGGAACGCCACCAGCTAAGATTGATGGCTGGAAGACACCAATAGCTGCTGCTTCGCCATCTCATCCAGGCACTGGGCCTGAACACGCCGTTTGATTCTGCAAGAAGACCGTTTTTCTCTCCATTTTTCCCCCCTTTTTTATCTTTTTTTCTTGGGAGCATTGTAGGTGAAGCGTCATTACCCCTCACTCCACTGAAGAGGGGTTCATTATGGGGTTAGTGTGTTGGCAAGACTATTGTTTGGATGATAAATGCAGTTGGTGAGGGCTTTGGAGGGAAAATTAGTTATGTTTTTTCTTTCCGTCTACAAAAACATGTCCCCATAGCTCACTCTGCAATGCTTCAGGGCAAACCGAGAACAATTAACACAAGCAATGGGTGAAGCAGCTCAGTTAAAGCAAAGAGGGAATTCATGAAAAATAAGCAAATCACTGGAAATGTCAATCAGGGGCAATGAAGTAATTACAAACACTGCTGTGCGATTCCAAGGGCGGTCAAAAAAGAAAACCGAAAGGTTTGGAGTCGAGCACTGAAATCTGAGTTTGAGGAATGAAGGAATGGACAAACACCCTAAACATCAGCCCTTCAGGGCCCGTCTCATCAACTGCAACCAACTAATGAGAAGTGAAAGGAGGATGATGTCACCCCATCACTCTCTTGTACCCTATTTCTCTATTGGTTTATGTTTTTGACTACAAAGCGCTGACCCCAAATTCACTGCTAACACACACAAACACGCACATGTGCGCACACACACGGTTACCTCAGACGATAATGCATAAGGTCTAACAATGAGAGAAAGATGAGGCACATTTTCAAATGTCAGCAGTAAATGTCAATTAAAAATTACAAGGGTGCTGGGAAAGGTAGGGTCTGAAGGGACTGACATTTTTTTTCTTTTTTTTGACACAACAATGTTTATCTGACCGGGCTGCTGGCTGACATGACGGGATCTACTTTGTCAGTCCCTTAATACACTTGGACAAGGCCGCCCCAGTGAATATCAACGAAAGACACCCGTGGGCAAATATGTAAGGCTCAGACTTACTCTAACCGTCCAATCAGCCTGTTAGTATTCTGATATTTCACCCTACTGTAAACCAATGCCCTGAGTACCAAAGTGGAAGACCAAAGACAGAAGAATACTTCTTCCTTTAATCCAAACTAAGAAAGAACACTGACTTACAGAGTGAAATATTTACAGAGACATCTGATCTTCATGTCATGCTCATCAAATGAGCCCTCTTCCTATATTTACTGCATTATTTTAAGTTTGAGTGAACTGAGACGACAATCATTTAAGTACTCTCTCATTAAACATGGTCTGGGAATGCTCTGGAGCTTAAGCAAAGCCTTTTATTGTCACCAACTTTCTTAGTGGTATTTAATGAGGCCCATCAAAGATAGTAACCGTCAAAGATTGGCCCTTTTCAAATTCACACCTCAGTGACTTTTAGTTCCTGACGTCAACAACAGTTAAAAAAAATTGTCAGAGCTTTCTCCTCTGGAAGCAGGCCATTTCCAAATAAAACTATGTTACTCTGAGAAAATAAAACACACCATTGATTATGACCTTGACCTCATCTCCCGCATTTTAACTGCTCAATGATATTGGATGAGTCATCTTCCCTTAAAATCAAACGATTGCTCCGCTGGCAGCTTCTGCGTCAAATCAGTGGGTCAGTCATCTATAGGAAAGAGTAACATTTTCTAAATGTGGAGCCATTATTTTCATTTCCTTTACTTTTTCAGTCTTTATATTTTCAAAAACTGTCTTTTAGAAGTTACTGCTTAAAATACGGATTTATTTGACATTATTTGAAGGATATATGGGAGTTTCCCTGGAACTCTTAAGAATTAAAGGATTATCATTGGGAAAAAAAAAAAACTGTATTACCAACTAAGATCTGTCAACTACATCAGGAACCCTAATATAAATTCATGTTTTGCAATGCACACAAAACCATACATAAATTAATTCATGATAAACCGCTTCTCTTTCTGTGTTGTGGTTTTGACAGATCCAGAAATCTGATCCTGATCTGGTGCTGCACATGCACCGAGAAAACAAAAACAAAGACAGAAAGCGAGTGTCCGGCTGTGCCTGGGGTCTGGAACCTCCTGGCACTCTAGCACCGTGTCACAACATGTCAGCTGGCTGTCACGGCTGAGGGGGGCCGGGGCCACAGCCAGGTGAACGGAGGCGGTGTGGGCGACTTTTCAGCTCGGTGACTGGAACCCCGTGCCAAGGGAGGCAGGGGATGTGAAGACCATGTGTAAGAGATCCGTACTCAGATTTCGTAGGTTTAAAATTAAGCCTGGATAATACTGAGTATTGTGCTAAATTATTTGGATAGAGGCTGATGACACTTTGCAAGACAGATGCAAATAGCTGATAGTTTTTGCTAGCATTTACAGGGAAAGATCTGTTTAATTTATTCAATAGCTGGGACACTATAGGACATTTTCTGCCTTGTATTTCGGGTTTCTACTAGAACATGTTTACATGCTTTCAAGTTTTAAAGCACTGTTTTCCTCACACTGTCTTTGCTGGAACACCTGTAACACCCTCTGTCTAAAACACTCCATTTAAGTGCCTTAAAAAAGCCCAATCTGCTCTGATTGGTCTGCATTTCCGCTTCTCATTACACGTTTCCCTGACATTAGCATTAGCTACATGCAGCAGTGTACTAGCAGTACTTTCTCCCATTAAAAATAACCAGTGAAACTTTCTAAACACAACCAGACATGCTCCAGCAGGAATATGATCTGAAATCGGAGAAATTAAAAACATTGCAAACCAAGCTTACATGTTTCTCTGACATTAGCATTTAGCTTCATATGGCAGTATAGGCTACGTAATGTGAACACTTGCAGTAGCGTGCCTGGAGTAGATGACGGCATACAGAAATCTGTCATAAGCTGATGTCAGCTTGTCTAAAAGTGGAAAAAACAGTTGGAAACAGAGCATTCAGAATGGGCTGGAGCCTGAGGTTTTGGCTTGCAGAGATTACTTACGTTTACCTAATTGTTTGAAATTTTGGCTACGTTTAATGTGAACATCGGACATTGTGACATTATATATCTGACAGAAAATTGAGGAAAATATAAAAGGTCGCCTTTAAAGTAAAAATTAACAAATAGAAAGGGGCAAGGCCTATAGTGTAACCCCCTTGTAAGAATTATGTTTTCAGTGTGGTGAGGTAAAATTAAAATAAAGTTGGTGTTTTGCTTGAGTAGACTGTGTCACGATTATTTAGATAAGAAGTATGTTCTCTCAAGAGACATTGAAGTATGTCCTTGTGCATTTTCTAACACACACATTTATATGCATACACATACACACACCTCAGGCCCCCAAGGTCGTACCATGAGGGTCCGTTCCTGTCCAAAGGTTCTCATGACAACAGATGCAACGGATTAATCACCCATTTCCCAGCTTCCCTTCAAAAACAATGTGTGTACTCTGGAAAACAATCAAGCTTCCAGGCAGACCCTTCAGGCTGTGAAAGGCTCCAGTGACAGGAGTGGATGTGGAAGTAGTGTGATGTGCAGATGTACCATATGGAAGTGTGGGGTTAATGTGGCCTTTGCCAGGGAGGAAGTGGTTAGTGTTGTTAGACAGAGATATGAGCTGCCTTTGTGATACTGAGAAAAGCTGATTGTGGTTTGTGGTCAAAAAGGAGAAGTTATAAACAATATGGAAACTGGGAGAATAGGTGTTGCAACATTATGTGGTTGGTTTAGATAAGCGTATGAAAGGCGAATACAAAGAGGTGAGAATAAGAAGGGATGGCTTACCTGTTCCAGTAGCTCCAGAACTGTTCGTTGAGATAGGTGCGGTGACTGTGGTCGTCTCCAAATGACGCTTTGCTCTCGATCCAGTGTACAATGTGTCCCTCTACGGCTTAACAGAAACAAAAACACAGCAACATTCAGAAATCCAATCACAGGAAAACCACACAAGCATGATCCAGAAAGGACATTATCTCATTCACAAAAATCAAAGAAAAGATTTCATCCACATGACAATGTTTTGACAACTTCATAATCCTTTATGAAACAAGGACGCTAAGGTTATCAGGGAGATACTGTATGTCAGATAAAATATTATTATATAATATATGTATACTAACCAATGGGAACCTCCAGGATGATATCAGGTGTTTTGTCGTAGCCCATAGTTCTCAACTGGTTCTCATCTACAGGAAATAAAGTGCAGAATTTTAACGTCTGACTCTTTGCAGTAAGTTTTACTCTTCACAGAACAAATTCTGTTGCATCAATCACAGGCAGGTAACCTAAAAGCCTTCACAAAGGTGCTGGGAACAAAACCCCTTAGTGTTAGCAAAGCAGAAGAAATAACAGTAGAGGACAGCGAGCACAGTAAAACCATTAACTACATCTGCCACGTATTCGCTGTCGTTGCACAAAAACCTGTAAAGCCCAGTTACAGAGCTGCTCTCCAGTTTGCAGTTTGGCAGAGCTTTATAAAATATACAGCAAAGGGACAAGGTTGGCATTATAGCCTCTGTAAGCCTGACCCCTGCCTGCGCAGGCCGCAGCCATTGTCCTTGACTTCTGGTGCGCTTCGGCCATTATCCCTACAACACCTGATTTCTCCATTAAATCTCAGGCTGACCAGGTCATTCAGTTCCGAGGGCCTGCCTCTTTGTCTCCAGCCAAGCTCAACTAATGGGGCATGGAAGGGAATTGAGGAGAGATGGAGGGTGGCGGTGTCAGTGGTGGTGAGGAGGTAGCATCAGCCAAGGGGGGAGAAAGAGAGCTGAGTGAGGTCAGTGAGGCTGCCAGAGGCCTGTGGTACAGAGGGGCATCCTGGGTGTGGTAATGTGGGTGTAGATGTGTATGTGGTGGGAGTGGGATGGGAGCCTCTTTTCATACCTACTGGGCTGTTGACATTGTCATGTGGCTCTGATCGCCTTTTTTACATCACCTTTGATTAAAATTAATGGGCCATCCCCGCTTTTGGGTAGCTTATTTCCAATCCATTTATCAGATGGGGTGAGGCGGCCTCAGTGGCCCTCGTGTCGCCCGAACTCTGACAGTTTTAGAACAGTCCTCTGTACGGCTCTGGAGAAAGGTCAGCACTCCAGGTTCAAATAAATGATATGGCCTTAATGACAGTGGGAATGACTTTTATCCTTCATCACTCATTTGACCTAGGGGATGATGATGGGATGGGGGTGATGGGAGGAAGGGGGGGTTAAAAATTCTGTTTCACAATTTCACACCTGGACACTCTACTTTGATTTAATATTGTTGGAACTAGATAATAATGTTAGGAAAGTAGAGGAGGTTAAGAGAACAAAAATATAACTGGTTAAAAAATTAGAAACTACAATCGCATATGAGAAGCTTCTATTTTTTCTGAACATTAAATCGCCCAAACTACCTATTGGAAAAACTGTCTTTGCAGTCAAATATCCTCTCACTGGTACCAACATAACATTCATGTTCATGTAAGTAGACAGGGTGTCTACAGGTATCAAACAATTAAATTTAAAGCTATTTCAATGACAATTTCAAAATCATTTTTCACTAAATTTAAGACTGATTTTGGGACAAATCACCTTTTTCTTATTCAAATGCTGCAGGGGTAGGTTTTATGTTGGAATATGGGTAGGTTAATCAACATTTTACCATTATGTAAGTGCAACTATTAAGACTGTATTTGGTTTAGTGGCAGTTTTAAAGATTTGTGCCATCAAAATGTGGACTTTGATGCAGAAGAGCTTGACTCATTTAACAAATAGAAAGTAAAAGATGGATAAATGAAATTAGATAAAATGTTTGTGGCATTTAAGACCTCAACAATTCAAATTTAAGTCTATTAAATGACTTTAAAGGCTACTTACAAAAATTTGAAGTACCTGCAGACACCCTGATAGAAACTGGCTTTCTCATTCAATGTTGGACAAAAAAAACCCTGAACAAAAACATTAAAACATATCACTGAAGCTTTCATTCTTTAAATATTCATTGTACCCCGGTGCATAAGCATCCGAGGATATTTGATAACAGCTCCTTGTTGTTAGCAAATCAATAAGAGATAACATCCACTGCATCAGTCACGTCCAGGTCTTCCTTTGCTACTTCCAGAAAGGCGACACTGCCATGACCAGACTGACTTCAGAAATGTGATGAGAAGGTGAAAAGATGGCTCACCTAGAAAGGACAGGTTCCTCTCCTTCAGTTTGTCACAGAGCAGCACCTCATGTTCTTGGCCAATAGCGCTGAGAACAGAGAGTCAAGGATTCCAACATACAGCAACTGCAAATGTTTAGGTGGTGAGGTTTCAACAGGGGCAACATGAATACATGAATAACATGAGTACCGATACAGAGGACCTATCTGATACCACTGCATTAAACAGAATAAACAGCTATATGTAACAAACCTTGTATGGGTGTGAAATGATTGCTATCATGCTAACATGGCTCAGGTTAAACCCTTTGTAAAACAGGGCGAATACAAACAGACAATGAATTATTATCTAACAAGACAGTCGGTCATAAAAACAGAAAATCTTAGGAATAAATAACAATTTCTTGAAAAATAGCCACAATTTAGTATAAGAAACACCAGTGCCATCTCTCAAATCTAAAGCCTTGCATACCATACACATTACCTTTTACTGGTGGGAAATGTAAAATAGTGCCAAATTGCTGACATTTTGCTAATGGCTAACGTTACACTGTTTACCAGAAATAAATTCCTGGGGTCCGTTTCACAAAGCAGGTTCAACAAACTCTGAGTCTAATTCTGAACTCTGAGTTGATCTACTCTGAGATAGGAAACTCTGAGTTTCCGGTTCCAGAACAGCTGATTTGAATCAGTTTAATCAACTCAAGAGTAGTTTCACCTGGAGTTAAGCGCGTGCACCACAACTATAAAAAGCCAGCATCAATGGAGCCCCGATTCGACGAGTCACCATGGCAACGGGGACGGGGAGGGCGTTTTTCACCCCACTAGAATTAGATATCTTAATGCGCTCATACTGCGAGTTTGAACACGTTTTCATAAAGAAGTGCAACACCGCTGCAGCTGCAAAAGAGAGGGAGACGGCGTGGGAGAATGCATAAGTTTAAATGTAGTCCTTTGCAATCACAATAATATTACAGGGGAAAACTGCTTGAATGGTAGCCTATTAATTTATTTCATTTAGGTGCAATCCCGCGGAGGAGAAGCGTACTTGGCAGCAGTTCAGGATGAAATATATAAACATTGTTCAAACAGGTAAGACCTCGGCATAATCTCATGGGGGTACTTCATTTTGATCATGTTTTACATTGTAAAGTAAATATTAAGTGGCTGTTTGACTGTGCAGTTGTTTTATCCCCAACATAATGCTGTTTTCACACACATAAATGTCTTCTCATCTAACCTCGTGTTCTGTTAAATAATTAAAATTAAACTAACACAGACTTCTACTCAGCCAACAGAAAGAAGGCAGATGCCCTTAAAACGAGCACACTTTTCTGACCGCCCTGCATACAGTTGCCTTACTCAAGTGCTCAGCGTCTCCGACATTGTACAAAAAACTTCCATTTGCAAAGAAACACAGCGCATTTTTATACAGTATGAGCGCAACACACAATATCTGCTGGGATGTGAGAGCATGACTACGATTGGTAATGTTGCAAATAAGGACGGATTAGGTTGTGTAGATGATGGACTGTGACGTGAAACGGTACCGCTCAAAAAGATAATTGTGTGGAAATGCTAAAACATCTATGCGCGGTCTGATAACCATCTCCTGACGAATATTTAATTCTCTGCGCAGTAATGCTGCACCTTCATCCACGGGATCGTTATCAAAAGGACATGCCATGTTAGTGAAAAAAGTCGCCACCTACTGTGCCTAATGGACTTCTAATATACTTACTCTGATTTTTTAAATGATTTTTTTAAATGACAGACGGCAGAACTAGGCTACGCCAAAACTCGCCTGCTGACTGAATGAATGAGGAAATCAAATGGAGTGTGTGGCTCTGAAAGAGGGCGGAGACAGAGACACTCGAGGTTCATTGAGAAAAACCTGGTCCCGACCAGGTTTGGTTCATAGAGTCTGTTACTACGGTAACTGACCGAGAGCTTAAGTTACCTCTCTCTCTGAAACAGGCTAGAGTTACCTCCCTTTTTGAAACGGAAAACTCAGAGTTTCCCTCATTTCAGGGTTAACAGACTCTGAGTTTTCACTAAACCTGCTTTGTGAAACGGACCCCTGGCTGCTCTAAAGCAGTAGTCGCCAGTGGCTACACAACTCACAGTGTAGGCTACTGTTTGAGAGCGACAATGAAGAATTGATATCAAGGAAAACTGCTGTTTAATACGGGTGTACAACTACTTTAAAGTTTGTTCATGAATTAAGTCAGTTGTTCCCAACTTGTGGGTCCTGGTTGAAAAGTGGATCAGGTCTATTCTGAGTGGACCTCAAGTGATTCGCGAATGTGTCAAGTTTGGAAAAAAAAAAAAACACTTTATTGTGAAGTACAACAAATTTATGGCACAAAGCTAATATTCTGAAGTGCCATTTTCTGCTGCAGAGTGAGTGAATACCTGAAAGCTACTTGACAGAGACAGCAAACTACCTCGACAACATGGCCAAACCTAAGTATGACACTGAATATATTAAACTGTGTGGACCTTGAACTAATGTCTAAGGACAAATTTGGACCCCGTGGCTGGACCAGTTGGGTACCACTGAATTAAGTGGAACGGGATGGATGTATAGACTCACATAATCAACGAAATCTGATCCCGCTTTCTCGGCAGTATCATAGGCATTTCCAATACTGGCATTTGTATCGAAACAACTTCACATGAAACTACATACAAAGTTTGAAAGTTGTACTTGTGAGAACACAAGTTGCTCATAAAAATTCTGCAGGAAAAAATCTGGCCTTTTACCTGTAAAATTAGTTACTACGGACACCAGAAAATAAAACCGTATTTGCTGTGGTAATGGAATAAATGCACAGACATGAGGTAACCCCAGCTGTGCATGTGTACGCTTGACATCAGTTAAACTCAAGAACCTGCTTTCCCCAACTACTGGCTTACTATGCAAAGTGAAAGCCACTTCTCTTCTTGCCGATGTACAGCCAGAGCCCAATCAGAGTCCTCAGGTCAACCTTAATCTGCTTTCACAACAAATCTCCAAAGTGCATTACCTAAATGAGGAAGATGAAACAAATGCCAATTTGGCAAAATGCATAGAGCGCCTGCACTGGCTGCTCTGCTCATTCCTCTAAAATCTCTGAAGAAAAATGCTTTTAGAATAAATGCCATTTTGCATCAGGATGCAGGCTGCTTGTTACCATGGGAAAAAAATCCTGCATCTACAGAGGCTGGAGAACATATATGCAAAACTTGCTTCTCCCACAAGAGACAGAAAAGTTTGTACCCTGTTATGCTGCCTTCATCAAACACTAATCTCTCAAAATGGACTCTAATTAATACACATACATCAAAAATGCATTAAAGGCTATTCCTCTCTTGCAAGGATGGACCTCTTACAAAGCACATAGTAGCGGGGCGGTTATAATGAACTCTCTGTGGTTGAGTAACTGACTCTAAGTTGACACTGACGAGAAGACGGCCAATGAAAGGTAAAAAGGGGGGATGTGGGTGGGACAGGGTTGACTGGCTACGAACAGAGCAGCCAAGCCCCACCGCCATACACGAAAGCTTGGGCAGACACAATAACATACAGATGTACCCATGTACACTCATTCAAATAAGTCTCCTCCCCCAGGAAATAGTTGGTCTGCTACCCAGCTGCTTGCCCCTAAATAGCCTGGACTCCCATTCTGCCCCTACAGTCAAGGCCAAACCCCTGTTAGGCAAGAGGAGGTATTTGTAATGGGCAAGGAAAGGGAATTATGAACAAATAAAAGTAATGTTCGATGGAAATTAGTAGTTCAGATGTGCCCAGAACTCTCCATGGTGCTGATCAGCATAAGAATTATCTGAATTAAATGCGATCCAATTAAAAATTATTTTAAAAATCAGCGTCAGCATAAAATAACAAATCATCCGGGTTAAATAAAACACCAAACAAAAGAACACATTAACCACCGCGAGGCTTATGAATGATCTCTCTTTTCTTGTATCATAGAACATTGGGTCTGATCCACTGTGTGCACATGGAGATGCATTTAGATCAGCCCCATCCTCTCCTCCTCCTCTTCCCTCCATCGCCTTCCAGCCGCTGCACCGGTGATAGTGGGATGGCAGGCAGGATGAAACACTTCCTCTGTGAAGCAGAACTTTTATGTCAGGTGAAGCCAGACACATCTCATCCCCTTCAATAGCTCCTCGTCAATTTCAGGCTTAAAATTTTATGGGATAGGATACTGTTTGATGCAGTCTACCAGCGGTCCATAACAGCAGTCATTTATTGTGCACTGAAAAGAGGGGGAAGAAATATTATGGCGTGCGAAAAAAAAAAGGGTGGGTGGGTGTAAAGGGAGGTGAAGGGAAAGGAAGCCCCGTACAGTGGCGGGGAAAGGGGGAAAACACAGGAGATGCTGGCAGATTGGCAGGCATGACCGCCGGCTCTCACGTGACCTCATCAGCAAACATGAGCGGCTGATGCCGTCTGTCAGCCAGGTGTTACAATAACACTTAGAATCTCGCTATACCTAAGCAGGAGATTTGTTACATGGCAAAATCTGACAAACTTTTAAAATTAAATTGAAGCAATTTAAAAAAGTGAGCAATTTAAATGCTTTCCTGTCATATTCCAGGTCGGATTTAAAAGTTAAAACACTTGCCTGGTAGATGTTATTGGCCAGGATTGGGTCTGGAATTAAAGACGGGTCCTTGAGCATGCTGTTGAGGACTGTTTTAGAGGCTGAGTACAAGACAGACAGACAAGAAAGGGTTAGAAACAATTACAAAAATATATAAATAAATATTAGTATGCAAATGGCGTCAAACTTCACAGCTTGTCCAACTTACAAATGTTAAAAAAAATAGTCTAATTGCTGCGCTGAATTGAGAGCAAACTCTGGAAATATACAGGCAAAAGACAGGCTTGACATACTGTAATTCACCACACCACTGTTAGCGCAGTATTTCCACACTAGTCCATTAGATGGCTGCTTGGTGTCTATACAGATTTTCTATAGATAAATGTTTCAGTCCAGAGCACAGGAGCCCCATGTAGTTTATCTATGTTATGAACGCCGACTATTCTGCATCTCTCATCCCCATTCTTGCTCTACTAACATTATAAATCAGGAAGGGAAAGCCTGCTGGATTGATTCGCTGGTACTGCAGCAGCACAAAAAAAATTCCTTAAATCATTTCTTAAAAAGATTTGGATTAAATGGATTGTATCATTGTGTGACGAAATGGTTGAGGCACGCCATTTTAGTGATACATGGTCCTGACAGACTTGCAGCATTGCAGACAATACAAGGAATGTTTCTATTCGCATTTCAGGCATGGATGGCGCCTGTACTGTACCAACGCTGCACAGAGATCTCCGAGCTCATCTAATAAAGTGTGCAAGTGTTAATAACAAGACGGCTTATTTTAAGATTTACAAAAATGGACAAAAAAGGGAGTTAGACATTGGGAAAGGATCAATTGAAAAAGACTTGGGTGTGCATTTACAAACGCTGACTGGATCATCAAGCGTCTCTTAAATGGATTTCATTAATAGAAATGCACTTAGAGGAGCATTTAGATGCCCTTAAGACCCGTCTTTTCAGTCCTGTCTTTGCATTTCTTTCATAGGCATTACTCCTTGAGAAAACTATCACAGAGAGCACAAACAGTGCTGTGATCCCTCATCTACCTTATGATGAAATAAAGAGGGAGGAGGGAGGAAGAAGAACAAAGCCCATTCAGCGCTCCCTCCTCTCTCTCTCTGTTTCTTCTTCTTTGTCTCCATCTTTCTCTGCCACCTCTTTATTTTTTTTTTCTTCTCCTCACTACCTCCTCTCTGTTTCAGTCTCTCCCAGCCGCGGTACTCCCCCAGCCCACCCCATAACCTCGCACTCCCTCTTAGAGCTGCGAGGCACAGGGCTGTGCTTTATTTCTTTGCTCATTTTTCTCAGAGATTGGTACCTTCACACGCAGATCCATACCATGCTCCTGTGCGGTGCGGGCGGCGGTGAAGAAAGAGGGTTATATTTTCCCCTTGAGTTAGGACACCTCATGACAAATGATAATGGATAATCAATAAAGCGGGAAATATGAGGCAGCAAACTTTATGAAGCCGGGAGACATATTACTCCCCAACAACACTGGTTTCCCTTAACAAAGTCACTACTCGACTGTGCCTAATAATCTGAAGGAAAATCAAAGGACCCGCAACCACATCAGCAATATTGGCAACTTATTCCACTTTAATGGCATTTTGATTGATTTTTTCCCTCTTCCTAATGGTCGTTTTATAGATTTGACGCTGCTTCTGCAAAACAGTAGTGTGTAATAAACCTCCCCGAAGGCAAACGGTGGCCATTAAAGCTCTTGTCTTACTAGCGCTCATAATTGGGGGTTGACCACCACCACATTTTGGTCTCTCACATAACACACACTTCCACGACTAGCCTGCTCTCTCTCTCTCTCCTCGCCGCTCCAGCCCTCTGATATTTTTGGTAGATGGCCATAATAAGTGATAGGATCCCTTTCTCCTGCTCTTTTCTGAGCGATGGGGTTAAAAATAGCCATAAAGAGGTGACCTTGGCGCTGACATTGTGGAATTTCAGCCAAGCATTGACCTGATGAAAATGGAAGGCCGGGCCGCTAATAAATCAGGATGCTTTTAAAATGAGTTTACCCTAATGCTCATTCATCACAGGCTGTAATGCCATTTGCAGGCCCGGGATTCGCTGCTGTGCACAAACACAGCAGTAAATAACAACAGGGCCCTTGCATCCCTCGCATCGTTGCAGCCTCCAACATCAGCATACATTTATTAAAGACGCCCCCGCCTTGCACGGCAGCACTCCTCTATGACACCCTGAGCTCCTCTCTGCCACACACACACACACAGACGCCATGCTCTTTAAATACACACACTCAAGGCACACACACAGACGCACACATAAAACACGTGCAGGAAAATAAAAAGCATAATCTGAGGAACACCAGACACAGAGAACAAAGCCCTGCAGCACGACTTTGCACCTTGTAAACATTCGCCAAATTTACTGTAATTGTCCCATGTTGGTATAAATTTTGACTAAGGCACCATATCACACCGTCAACATCTGAGCAGAAAAAGAAAAGAGAGGAGGAGAATAATAGATGTGAAACGCTACGCCTCCATTGGGATTTGCTAAAGAAAACAACCAGTGTAAACAAATCACAAGCCTGTTTTCATATGCAACTCCAAAACAAGATAAACTATATAAAGCTAGGTAACAGCAACATAACCTTGGCTTGATTTCTTATTGCGTACTCGAGTCATTTGTAACTACTCTTCTTCTCTCCACACGAGGGTGAGAAAGTCATTATCTCAAACACAAAAAAATGTTGAGAAACCTCATTAGATAGCAACATTTGTTGAGGGAGGACCGTAATAAACAGTAACGGATGACGATTGTTATTGCCCCTGACACTGATGAGCTCCTCTGCAAGTTTGTTTATTAATTAAAAAACCCACTTTTTTTTCCACGGGTGTGTTGGAGAGGGGGGGGACGCGCTTATCCATTTCCTCCATGTGCCCACACACCCCCCCCCCCGCCACACTCCCCATGCACAAGCCATTGAGCTGTGGAGGGGCACTCGTTCATCAAACTTCATGGAGCAAGGGAGAGACAGGTCCTGATAATGTGCGCCGCTAAAGCTGATTTTCCATGATGAATCTCGGAGCATATAAATTGGCTAATATCTGAAAACATTTACAGATACTAGAGGAATTGACTACTTGTGGGACATGATGGATGAGGCTCTGCGACGCTGGCCGACAGCTCTGCAAATCTCTGCGGCTGCCTAAAGCCCTCATTTGATTTTCCAATTTACTCCTTTTAAATTTATCCTCCCGTATTGAAAAAAAAAAAAAAAAAAAACAGAAGATGGGAAAGAGAGAGAGAGAGAGAGAGAAGGGGAGATGAGAGGAAGGGGAAAAAACATGTTTTTTTTAAGTATCTGTGGTGGTGTGTAGGTGCTAGTTGATGATATGAGGTGGTATCTCCTGTGCAGGAGGAGCCCAGTCCCTGAAGAGGTTACTGGGGCAGAACTGATCTGCTTCCACCTGATTCTCCCTGATAGCGGTGAGATGAGACTCCACGCTTCTGTGTGTGCGTATGTGTGCACGTCTATGTGTGTGTGTGGCGGTGGGAAAAGCAGATCTGGGGAGGCTCTGCTATGGAGAGAGGCTTCCTGGGTCAGGCCATTAGACTGTGGCAGAGGCTGACTGGAGCTCCTCTGCTGAAAAGGAGTAATTAGTATACTTGTCAAGTGAAGTGCCACGCTGCTGCTTACCTCCCTTGCACCCACCCCTTGCATGCATACACACACACGCACAGAAACACTCATCCTGCCTTTACCTCCTTCCTCCCTCCCTCCCTCCTTGCTAATGAAGTGCCCTTGCTCTCATTATTTGGAAAAAAAAAAAAAAAAAAAAAAAAGGCTGCATATACACACCAGCTCCACCACGGTGGAGAGGTGTGACAGAGAAGAGAGGCGCACTTGAAGACAAGAAACCATAACAATCACAGTGGATACGAAAGTTGAGATTTTACTGGATAGAACGCAGTACAATATTCAGTTATCAACACGTCTGATCTGCAAAACGCCGAAGCTATTATGAATTCTGTCAAGGAACCAGAGGATCATAGTAGACGCTAACATTCTCACAGTGTTAACATCAAACACAGGACATTTATAACCTTGCGTATGAGGCTTCTGTAAAGGAATGTGACAATAAATCTTAAAGGCGGTCGAATCACATAGTTACAAAACATGGAGCAGCAATCTAATCTGAAGCTGGGCCTTGGGAAAATGGAAAAGGTCAAATAGCTAGCAAAATTGCCTCCTCAAAAAAAGTATGTCTAAATCTAGAGGCACATCAACTCCTGTCAGAGGAGGAATAGAGAGAAAGATGAAGAGATAGCAGGAGGGGGGAAAGAAAGAGCAGGAGCTCCCCCAATGTGAGGCAATACAAGGTAGGATGTACCGACATAGAGTTGGAATCACGATACGACAGTTTACTATGTAAGTGTAGCATTAACAGAATATTTGGTGTGCACATGATGCAGGTTTAATCCAGTTTATGACATCCGTCCATGCCAAAAGTCTTTCTTGTCAACATTTTTAACAGTTTTAAAATATTATTTTTGTTGCGGTACAGTTGGTACATCAGTTGCGTCATTATTTGGATTAAAACTTCAGTGAATGTTAGTCCGTTGAGTTCAGTTTACCAATTAGGGCTTGACATTATATCTATATAATATTGACATTGTCATATGAGACTAGATATGAGCTTAGATTTTGGATATCATCGTAAGTGTTGTCTTTTCCTGGTTTTAAAGGCTGCATTACAATAAAGTGAGGTAATTTTCTTAACTTATCAGACTGTTCTGTTATTTGTCTTTATCCATTGAGTTATTATATCCACATAATGGGTGATTATTCATCAAAAATGTCACTGTGTAAATATTTCGTGAGAGCAATAACAGTCAAACCTACAATATCCTCGCAGTAATTCCAGCAACATTTGCCAGTTCCAGCCTTTTAAATGTTGAGCTCTTTCCTCCATTTTTCATTTCATATAATTCTAAAGCGAATCACTTAAGTATTTTGACTAAGAAGAAATTTAAGCTTAGTTTGGTTCAGTTCACCTTAATTAACAAACTTAATTTTATTGTCATTATATATACACTTTAGTTTCATGAAACATAGTCCTGTCATTCAATATGGACATTTCAGAAAAAAGGAGACTTTGGTAATAAAACATAAATAATAAATATTTTTATAACCAATTTGAAATCATGAAAAATACATAATTCAATGGCATCATGACTGCAGATTCAACTGCAGATGAAAATACACGTTTTGCTGCCCTAGTTGTGTTTTGGTTTTATTGTTATCAGATTCAAAGTTGTTGTACAGTGCCTTACTTGTCCATTATAAACTTAATTGTCACATTCATGAGCCCTGTTAAGGATATCTCAATATGGAAAAAGTCAAATATAACAATATGATTGACCAAATACCTAGTAGGGTTGACTACTGGTGCTTTCACAAAATATTTATGTGAGATTTTTGATAAATAAGCATCTGTAATGTGGATATAATGTGTGGGTATAGCCAAATAACTCTGCTACGCTTAGAAAGTTACATCACTTTAAACAAGACAACACTTATGATATTACAGTATCCAAAATCTAAGACAATATCTGGTCTAATATCACAGTATTGATATAATATCGATTTATTGCCCAGCCATATAATTGTGGCATATACATTGACGCTGTTTCAGTTGGTTCAGAATGCAGCATTTTGTCCTAAAAACTTAAGCGCAGCTTTCCATAACCTTAAAATAGTGGATATAAACAGCGTAAAAGTACTCATGTGACCTTTCCTCCCCTACTGCCCAGTCTGTTTTCATGAGACAAGGAGCATTATGGATGTTGATATCATATTCAATACGTGATAAAACTGCTTTGAATGTATTGATTTATTTACAAGCGCCACCAGATAGTCTTTCATTCTGCCTGACTGATGCTCTCTCCAATACTTGTGCTGCAAGGAGCAGGAGGGGGGAGGCAGGCAGCTTGTTGGTGGTGTCGTCATGTTGAGGTGTGGTGGCGGTGTGTGTAGCTTGTGAGAAGGGAGGGGAGCGTCGGGTGGTGGGGGGGGGGACAACAAGCGAGCAAAACAAAACAAGGAAGGGACAGAAAACAATTTAAAACTCTGTATTGATCCAGCACTAGTGATTGTACATATATTCCACAGTCCCAAAGGCCCCATTCCTGTGTCTCTTAAATGCAAAGGGACAGAGAAGGGGAATAAAAAAAACCCGATGGTGCTAAGCAAAGGCAAGCCACTCACCCAGTTGGGGGTAATGTCCCTTATATAGAAGTCTATTGATCTTTGCAATGTGCCTGCCCGCCCTCCCTCTGGAGTGCGACAAAAACACACAAATACACACACATGCACACACGCTGGAGTGCAGTCTGGGGCTGGAGGGGGGCATGACGGATATGCCTGACAATAGCACTGAACCAACCTGTTAGCTAATTGCTACCAAAGACAATTATCCTTGCATTGTTTAATAATGGAAACACATTACTGGAGTCTAATATACACACGGGGAGATTGGACGGTTTGACCGGGCAGCCCGTGTGGACAGCAATTCATTTGCAAAGGCCAAGCAGTGTCACGGGGAGATTGCAGAGGAGCTCTGTCAAAACAGAAGTCACCCTCAAAGCAACTGACTTCACAGCTGGCAACAGAGGGAAGGTACAGTACAATGACATCATCATTTGAAAATGTGTTATGTTCATACAAGTAGGAGTCAAACTATTTTACCAGATAGAACAGTAGATATTAATCTGATTTAAATCAAGAGTGTTTTGTCACAGCGTGTAGACTCATCCTGTAAAAGCCATCCAGCTTCTGTGGAATCACTTGCTACAAGAAGAACAACCACGATCATGACATTACTCGCGAGCCTGCGAACGCCGAGACACGGCATGGTTACAACACTGTTTTGAAATTAAACAACGATCATCCGGGAAGTTTCATCTGCTACAAATCTATTCTGAGCAATAATAAAGCATGTTTTCACTGTATGGAGATGGAGGGATGCAGTGTGCTATTATCTGAGACGGAGTGCTTCTCCTGGATGAATGCCCTGTTCTACAAGCTGCTCAGACTAGTATTTTGACAGGCAGTGGATAACGGTGGGTCCAAAGCAATCACATCTTTGACTTTGACAAATGGCTGTGCTGTGGCGAAGTTGAAAATAACACACATCCACTTTAATCTCTTTCTTGATTAAATTGGAATCACGTCTTTTTGACATCATGCGATTCGCTCTCAAAGCACTGACTACTGCACAGACACACACTCACACAATTCTCAGAATAGACCTATTGAAATGTTATTAAAGTGTGTGTGCATGTGATATTAGGAGCTCCTGTGGAAATGTTTTTTGCATGAATTAACAAATGTTACATGTACCTGCAAATTATGACATTATCGGCGCAAAAATACATATAGATATAAGATATAAGATGATGTAAAATAAGTTCTAGAGAGGGGGGAAAAAAGACGCTAACCAGAATGTACATGAACAATTATCCACAGAATTTCTGGACAATCTCTTTGACATGTTCAACAAAAATATTTGCATCTGGAATTTGGTTCTCCCGCAGCGCATCCATCAGCGCAACCTAGGAATGGTTTGCTTTTTCTGCCACACTTTTCCACAACTCAATTTCCTCACAGGACCCAAGCAGGGACAAGGAAAGGAAAAGGGGATGAGAGAGAAAGAGAGGGTAGGGGTTAGATGGATGCATTGGGGGAGACGGAGGAGGGTGAAGAAAGAAATCAGGGGTGTTATAAATAACACTGATGAGGTGAGCTAGAATTGATCCACACTGCAGTTGAGAGGTGGGTGGTCCTCCCAGTGCTTAATTGCCAGTCATGTGCCCTGGGATGCGGCTAGTACTAAATGTGGTCTGTCTCTCATTAGGATCGGACAGGCTGGAAATACAGCAGCTAGGACTGGAATTGGGACTCAAACAGAAAGGAATTCAAAAGACAAAGTGCTACAATTAAGACTGATGGGGGGGATGATAGAAAGGACAGAGAGGGAAATGGAAAAGTGTTACTCACGCATTCCACCCTCCAGGCCCTGAAGGAACCTGTCCAGGATGATACGAGCCATCAGTGCAGGAGACAGATCCACCTTTACATAGATTGAACAACAAAAGGAAGAGAATTTGCCTTAATAAAAAACAGGCTATGCCGTCAATGGGGACTTAATGCTACTTCAAAACATAGGTATATTGGAAATGTTATTCCTCTCTGGAGAATTACTCCATTTACAAACCTTCAGACTAAATCCCACACATCCAGTTGGAAGTGCAAACATATTTCAAAGAGCCTAAGAATTACAGTGCTGAAATTACACGGCCGGCCTACCTTCTGCTGATGTCACATAGATAATAATGATTGTAATGGCTCTAAATGATATTATTGCGTTTCCAAACCTTGACCTAACTTTCGACAATCCCTGTGCAAATTGGTCTTTGAAAGCGTTGCTCTGCAATAACCTTTCCCACAGGAACAAGAGTTCGCCAATTACACAGCCAAGCTACCCGGCTGAATTGCCTTCGCCTCTGTCAAACGGACAAGCGCAGTCTCTCATCTGGTATGAAAAAGCAGCACACACAATGCCCAAGCAAGAGACAATGGAGAGCTTTAATCATAGGATGATCACCAAGGCAAAACTTCAGGAACCAACAGGACACACCGGAGGGACTGTGGGAATGCATTCCTTAATAGGATGGATACAACCTATGGCTGCAGCACCCTTTGAACACAAAGACACCTTGAGAGGTGTGAAATGTTTTCAGTTGAAGTGCAGGGAGATGCCCTGCCAGGTAAGGGAGCACTAATGACTGATACTGAAGGTGTCTAGCCGAGCCACATTCTTAAAAGAGAAGTGCCTTCCCAAAAGGGATGTCAGCTTCAGTTAATTTTGCTTTTGAAAGCCTGACACCCATTAACCTGGAACTATAATCTTTAAGAAAAACAAAATGCAAAATTATGCGAAGCCCTAATCTTTTTAGTCCAGGGCTCCACTGACTGTGTGAGCTTTAGCGCCACATTTCCAAGCGCTATCCATGTAGAGGTGGTGAAATGTCAAGGTTTTAGGATTAAAATTTGTTGCATTTTATTTTCTGTTGGCTTTGTTGACAGATAGTCGGCTAGCCACGCTGACAACTGGAATCATAGTGCCCACTGTCCACCCTTTGGCCTCCACTGGTTAGCTAGCATCAGCCTTGGCTGCTCTGCTCTGCACCCCCAGGTTGGTGGGAACTAGCTAATGGCTAGCTAGCTAGATAACTTTATTGTCAAGTTATCTAGCTCAGTGGTAAGATGGCAGCCATCCTCCATTCCCCCAAGCAGTCTGTTTGAGCAAGTGGCTTTATTTTGAGCCACAAAACCTATTTAGCATTGTTAACTATGTTAGCAACCCTAGCTGTGCTGACACTGCTAATGCTGCTGTCAGAGCTAACATAGCTAACAATGCTAAAGGGGAGGTTTGCTGCTTAAAATTCATTCACTTAGATGCCAAGGGTGGGCACAATGTTTATGCAGCAGTGCTGTCTGGATGGCGTTACTTGTGGTAATCGCCAAATGAGCAGTGCTGCTAGCTAGCTCCTACCCAGTTGGTGTACAGTGCAGTAAACTGAAAAGCAGCAAAATAACCTCATACACCAACATGCATAACCAGTCAAAAATATATTTGGCTGTTAACCAATTAACGGTTAAGCCTTGAATTCCCTTCTTCCCACTCATTATAAATATCATTGCCATGACAGTGTTAAAGGTATGCAATGAAAGAATAGCAGCTGCTCTTAAAGCCAGCAGAATATCACAAATTATTCAGCTCAATTAACAGGCATCATCTATAAAAGGTGCCAATGTTCAGAAGCCTGCATTAGCTTTCAAGGTAAACCAGCCGTATGGAGCATATTCATTTTCAAAAACATTACATTTTGGCTCCAAATAATAAGACACATTAAGTCATTCATTGCTAAATTTCACAGCCTCTTCAGTAAGGAGGGAATTAAAACATCGCTTGAAGACAAGCCATTCCTAGCCGGCTCGTTATGAAACACAACGTTCTTGCAGCTAAAGATCATTTTTTCTCTTGTTAGCATAATTGGGGGACCAAAAGTGAATTTGCCCTCAGCCTGTAGTGAGAATGGTGTCTTTCATCTTCTCTCTGATGCTTCCTGGTAACGCTGGGAGCAGAGAGGCTTCTGTCTAAACAATGTCTTTTTACCCGCAGTAGTATTTGTTAACATCTCCATAATATTGCGCTAAGAAGGCAGCTTGCAAAAAGGCCAAACATGTCTATAATAATTAAGGGGTGAGCGCAGAGTTTGTATCTTCATTAAGACCTCTGATAGCGTTTTAAAACTTAACATTTCTAGCTTGCAGCCATACTGTAGCTGTGTTTCCTCTCCCCAGCCTGTCTCATTTTCCATCGCTTTCTTCTCTCCTCTCAATCCTATCCTCTTTGTGCTCATTGGCCTGCTCTCCATTCACACCTTTGGATAACGAGAGATCGTCAGATCCTGGTAACCTGCATCAGGGCTGACACATGAAAAATGGCAACATTACCAACGCTGGCCCAGCCTGAATAAGGACCACCTGATTAGTTCAGGTACTTGCATCTCCCTAATTTTCATATTAATCATGAGTCCATCTCCGTCCTCAAGTCACACCGCAGCACTTCATGAGTTTAACATGTGACTAAGAGTCACAGAACCTTAAATTTCTGCGGAAAACAATTAATGCTCAGTAAAACTCAGGTTTTATAAGCCCCGAAAGCTAATGGGCGTTAACATACAATACAGCATGAAGGCACCTGTATGTTTAAGTAACCTTTACATAAAGCTGCGTATAAAGCGTGCAAAAAACACAGCAAATGTCAGGTTTAGAACCCCCGTTCATGGAAGACTTCTTGGGGCAAAAAAGAAATCCATGAATAGTTTTCATCATTGTTAATCATTTCCCTCTGTTGGAGATATATTGTCTCATAAAGGGATGAAACTACATCAATTAGCGGTCTGGGAGACCATGAGTGCTTGGTTTAAATGTTAAGTAGCATATTAAAATGACAGTTAAATGGTTCATAGACAGTTATCTCTGAGCTGAATTTAATCCTTAGGAGGAAAAAAAAAACTCATGTGTCAATTAAATGGAGAATGAATAATGGCAGTTAGCTTTGAGGTGCCACTGATGCATGTGAACTACTCAGATTTTAGATTAAGAAACCCTCAAATCTCGTTGCCTGGTGTAAGCACCAATAAAAATTTAAATGTGCATTTAAATGTTTTAAAAGGTTACACAGCCAATTCTAACGGGCAAAATAGGAGGAAACTGAAAGACTAACAATGTGATGAAATGCGAAGAAAATAGGTGAAAAAATTCAGTATATTGTCGCAAAAAATAGCCTAATAATCAAAAACATCCTTTAATCAATTTTGTAGATTTCACCCATATTTGCTGCATTTTATTAGGGAAGTAGTAGAGTAGGAACTGTTGCTGGTACCCTAATGGAAATAATAATTGACTAACTATATTGAATGTAAGAAACACTAGTTGGCCACTGACTATATATATATTTTCGCTTATGTGAAATGAAGAAACTTGGCCATGTGAATAATGTAACTGCTTAAAGCATGAGGCTACTTTATAGCAAGGACACCC